GCTGGAACTCAGAGGTTAGTGGATTGTCAGAGAATGGAGTTAGTGAAGAACTGAAGGTACTGAAACAGGCCTTCCAAATCTAAATTTCATGGGGAACAAACTTTGGGGGAGAGAAAGACTACCTCTCTTTTTACTGGGAGACTTTAACAAGATTGACAGAGAGGGAAGAAGCTACTCAGCACAGCACCTCAGCACAAGATAGCAGTGAAAGAAATTACCATCATTACGCACTTCAAACGGTCGCAAAGAACTGCTCTGGGTACTGTGGGGACCATCTCTAACCTCTGAGGGCCTGAGATATAAAACAAACACACAAGGAAGAACAAATATGCATATGACATACAGATGAGAGAATAAGAACAGTTAATCACTACAAGAGTAGACTAGAAAGCACTTAGATTATACAGGTGTTCAGAAAGGTTCTGGGTGTGGAGAACCTAAATACATAAGTGAAAATGAGAGCAGTAAAGAAGCACAAACTGTCCTAGCTACTCAAGGGTCTAAGATCTGAGGATCAAGACTTGAAGGCAAATCTAAGAGACTAGACAAATCTAAGAGACTCATCTCCACTTAACAGCAAAAAGCCAAAAGCAGAAATGTGGATCAAGTGGTAGAACACCAGCCTTAAGCAGAAAAGGCCAAGTGAGATCTCAAGGCTATAAGCTCAAGCTTAGAAGGGATAGGCTATTCAGGAAGGGTTTTTTGAAAGAAAAATAAGTTTTAGAAGTTCTCTTTTTGGGGGGGATGGGTGGGATGTGAGGTGCTGATCCTGGGGCTTGAACTTAGGACCTGAGCACTGTTCCTGAGCTTCTTTGCTCAAGGTTAGCACTCCATCACTTGAGCCATAGCTCCACTTCTGGCTTTTTTGGCAGTTAATTGGAGATTAGGAGTCTCACAGGTTTTCCTGCCCAGGCTGGCTTCCAACTACAATCCTCAGATCTCAGCCTCCTGAGTAGCTAGGATTACAAGCAAAGGCCATGGATACATGGATTCTCTTTTCTTTTTAAAACTTAACAGAAAAGTCAGGTATCGTTTTTACATGCTTGTATTCCCAGCACTTGGGAAGCTGAGGCAGGAAGACCACAAGTTTGAGGCCACTCTGGGCTACAAAGCAAGACCTTGCCTAGATAACATAAAATAGTTGTGCTGCAGTGAGAGTAGTGCGTGGTTCAAAACAGAAACTTATCCTGGATACATGGAACAATTATAAAGTGTGGGAGTGGTAGGAGGGCAATGGCAGTGGACAAAGAGGGCTCTGAGCAGGTGGAAACTCAAGAGAGATTACAACCTGTCCTGACTCCTAGGCTGTGCCTAAAGGTTTCCACCCCCATGCTTAAAGCAGGCACATGTCCTCCCCACTTCTGGAGTACAAAGAATCTTCAACTTAGGAAAGCCTGTTTGCAGCAGATGCAGAAGACAGCAGTGCTGTGGTAGAGGAGATGCTGGATAGGGACCTTGGTATGTTGGGCAAGAAGTCCCCAGCCATCTGAGCCTCCCCAGACTCCATCCCTACAGGACAAATCCCAGTACACAGCTCATCTACCCAGACCGACACATTGTTAGGGATGTACCAGTCTGCAAATTCACCCGTGGAGTTTCAGGCCAGTGACTAGATTCTCGGCGTAAAAACTCCACGTTGAGTTGTCCTGGGGTATAAACATTTCTCAATATACCAATTTAAATTCCAACCTGTTTATCTCTGCTGTGTTTACTCAAATCATCCTTTGTGACCCTAACTAGCTATAAAAAGCAGCAACAGAGAACCTCTAGGAGTCTAGTAAAAACTACATTCAGAAAGAGTCCCTAAACTCTGGCTCCTAGCTTGCTGTAGATCATAGAGATCCTTGGATTTAACAGTGCTGCCTCTTACCAGGACCATTTGAACTGTGAACAAAAAGATTGGCAATTGCAGTTTCTGAATAAACTACTTAGTTTCCATCACTCTGGTTTCTGAGTTAACACTAAAATTTGTATGGTTTGAAAAGTTCAAAATCTTTATGATAATTATTTTTCTTCCTGGTACTGGGGCTTGAACTCAGGGCCTACACGTTCTTTTTAGCCTTTTCTGCTCAAGGCTGGTGGCCTTCCACTTGAGCCACACCTCCACTTCTTTCCAGTCCTGGGGCTTGAACTCAGGGCCTAGGCATTGTTCTGAGCTCTTGTGCTCAAGACTAGCACCCTACCACTTGAGCTACAGCACCATTTCTGGCTTTTTCTGTTTATGTGGCACTGAGGAATTGAACCCAGAGCTTCATGCATGCTAGGCAAGCACTCTACCACTAAGTCCCATTCCCAGCCCCTCCACTTCTGATTTTTTGGTGGTTAATTAGAGATAAGAGTCTTATAGACTTTCCTGTCTGAGCTGGCTTTGAACCTCAATCTGGAATAAAGAGAAGTATAGGCATGAGCCACTGGTAACTGGCCCTGATGATTCTTAGAATTACTTTTGCCACTGTTTATTCACCTGCTATATTTACAATGTGTCATTCTCTTGTCTTAAGCACTCTACACATATTAACACATCTAACACTAATAAGAGGTACCTACAGAAGGAAAGGGTTACATTGTCCAAAAAGACATGTACTCATTACCTGACTTATGTAACTGTAACCTCTCTGTGCATCACCTTTATAGCAATTTTAAAAAACACAAGAAAAGAGATATGCACAGCACCTACTATAAAATAAGTTACCTATAGACAGATACAGATGTCTTCATGAGTCTTCACCAGTTTTATCTTCAAACAAGACACTAAAGAAACAAAGTAATAAAGCTAGTGTTGAAGACATAAGGGCTCAATTGTAACCTCCATGTTTTAGTTAGTCCCCCGATATTTTGATCTGTTCAACCAAATGTGTCCAAACAAATGTCTTACATTTACATGGAAGAGAGACCATTTTTACACTCAAAGAACTCATGGGATACTTACAGAAACTAGTAATCCTCTCTCTGATACTTAGTTTTTTCTCATTTCATAATAGGATTACCTATTATGAAAAAACCTGTGTTGCCAATGCTATTATTATTTAAACAAGTAAGGCAATTTCAGTCTAAAAAGGGGACCAACCAGTAGTGAGTGGAAGCAAACTGTTTTAACAACTAATGGAGGTATTTTCGTGTTTTATGGACAGGCAGACAAGACTAAAAAAAAAAGTGCTATTAGGTAAACACACACACATTAACTTTTTATTCTAACTAATCTCCTTACTTGACCCCATTCTTTGCCTCTGGACACCCATTTGATTTTGGACACAAAACTGAAATGCTTGGATACTGTTTGGTATCGTGCCATTTTTTGTAAGCCTTAAAGTTTTGCTTCAAACAAGCTATTGGAACTGCATGAATAAAAGGAAAGGAAAGAAGGACTTGAATGCTTGGATCAGGACAAGCTAAGTGCTGAGTGAGGAGACAGAGCCAGGTCTTCACGATGGGGGGATGAGGAAGACGTGGAGGAGCAAAGTGCTCCCAGCTCCTTTAAACGAGCGCGGAAGGACCCCTCTGCGGCGAGAAAGATCAGGAGGATCAGGAGGCTGCGTGGGGGCCCGAGGGCCCTCCTTCCCCGGTAGGGCGCTCACGTCTGGAGGCTGGGGAAGCCGGGGATCTCTCTCCTGGTGCTCTAGCTCTGTGGGGTCTGCGCGGACTCCTTCTGTGGGACGTGGGGCCGATACACAGCGCACCATAGACCCCGCCCCGGGCCCTCAGCAGCCGCCAAGCCACTGCGCAGGACCCGGCAGACCCCTCTGCCCTTAGCCCCAGCAGCCAGGGTGCCAGCGTCGCCGGCTGGAGGGCTGGCCGCGAACGTATTGCGTGCGTGCGTGCGTCACGTGTCCCCGCAGCGTGACGCACGCGGCGGCGCACCGGGCGGAGGCGCGGGACGCGGCGGCGTGAGGAGCACGCAGGGGGGCGGAGTGCGGGCGGAAGTCGGCGTCTGCGGAAAAGGAGAAAGGAAAGGGAGACGCAGCAGGGCGCGGCGCGGCGCGGCGAGGCCCCGAAGCCGGCGGGAGGGCGGGCGCCGCCTCCTCCCCCGCCCTCGCTGTAAGCATGGAAGTGACGAAAGCAGACGAGGAGGTCACTTCCTGCTGGGGTGGATGAGGAGGAGCTGGAGGCGCCGCGGAGGAGACCGGACTGAAGACCGACCGTGCCGGGCTGAGGTGAGTTAGCTGGCTCCGTCGCGGTCGCCGCCCCCCCCCCCTCACTTCCCAGCCAGTATCCGGGACCCCGGTGGAGACGGTGTCCCTGAGGCTGGGACCACCAGCCAGGCTGTGCCACTCCTGCCGGGCCTCGCCCCGGGCGAGGAAAGAGGGGGCCGGCGTCTGAGGGGCGACAGGACCCGGGGCTGCATTGGTCCGGGGAGGCCCGGCGGGGAGACCCGGGGAACGGAGGCTCCGGGACTGGGAACTGCGTGCGTGGTCCCCAGCGCCCAGCTGGCCGTGTCTCATTTCGTGAGGGAATGGTCGCGATCGGAGGCAGGGGCCGGGGAGCTACGGTTTGCAGAACTGAATTCGAGTAAGCGGAGTGTTGTCGGGGCGAATTTGTTTTTTAAAAAAAAAGCCTGTAGAGACACCTCGGATCTCCTGTGCTGCTTTATACTCCGGAGCTGCAGTATCGAGAGAGGGATTCCAGATCAGTGTCGTCACTAGGATATGGATCCCCCGCGATCCTGCTGGTTGAAGGGTATACCCTGTAACGGGATAAAGGCCCCGCGATCCGGCCCAGCAGTGTAGAGTTAGGGGCGTCCCGGGCTCGCAGCCTCCTGGAGCCGTGGGGGAAATTAATGTTTTTCCTCCCTCATCCTCACGGAAATGGCAGAGGAAGCTCCTGCCTCAGCCTCTGGTGCCTTGTTATTGTATCGTGTGTGTGTGTGTGTGTGTGTGTGTGTGTGTGTGTGTGTGTATTTTCTCCTTAGGGCTATTTATCTTATTGTATCGTGTGTGTGTGTATTTTCTCCTTAGGGCTATTTATCTTATTGTATCGTGTGTGTGTGTGTGTGTGTGTGTGTGTGTGTGTGTGTGTGTATTTTCTCCTTAGGGCTATTTATCTCATCTTCAGCCGGTGGTAGTTTTATGGACTGAAATGTACTGGTCTCCTTAATGTGTGTGTTGAGAAAGAAAATCCACAGTCTAGAGGAATCCTAAATTAGTTGAAATTTACAAGATTAGGAATTTGTCCCCACCCCACCCTGGGGCCACTGAGGTATCTACATTCCCTCCTGACCTGCTCTTGTGGGTGCTGAGGGCCTGTCATCCACCCTGGGGAACAATGAGGGTAAATCTGCCCTCCTGCCCCCAGATCCCTCTGGCAGTTTCACCCTACTCTCTTTACTGCTGGACTGACTGACACGGAGCTGCTGGCTGCTGCGAACAGGAAATTTATTGAGGAACTATAAATCTGGATGGAATGAATTCAAATCAGAGCAAGACAATGCTCTTCAGCCAGAAGATCCCCAGAAATGCCTGCTTTCTCCACTCCTCCTTCCGTATAAAAGGGATTACATGTAAAAAAAAAAAATCCTCCAAAAAACCGTTTTTTTGAGAGTGTTTCTTGTAAAGTGTCTGTACACTTACTTCCGGTATCCTGGAGTGTTTTTTTTTTTAGGGGGAGGGGACAGTTTCTGAGTAGGAGGAGATTTCTTCCATCTCAAATAATTTAGTAAAAGAAATCAAAATCAGATGTTCATTCTGGAGTGGGAATGAGATGCATTTGTATTTTTTCACCCTTTAAAGGAGTACATCTGGGTGATCTCAGGCTTGTGTTTCTTGGCATCTTGATTTGTCTAGTAATAGAAGACAAACTGACTTGTTTCTGCTGCCTCTTTGGACCCATTTCACTGCATCCTTCCTTTTATTTATTTATTGATTTTAACATTTGAAGGGTTGGTCAGGAGGAAAAAAAGCAAATATTAAGGACAGTGTTTACACTTTGTGGTTTAAAGTCAGGTGAGAGATAATTATGGCTTTTGAGGCTGATGACCTGAGGACCATCATTGGCTGACTTGAGGATTAGCAATTTGGAAGTGACATGTTTGAAGGACAATCTTGTATAAGGAAGGAAGAATGGGGTAAAGGAAGTCTGAGAAAAGGGAAAAGGCTATGCCAGAAAAAAGCTCAGGAGGGTAATACATAGTAACACAAAGTAATTGTGTGGCTTGTGTCTCTCAGCAGGAGGGTGAAAATGAAAGCAGGCTGTAGCATCGTGGAAAAGCCAGAAGGAGGTGGAGGTGAGCAGAAGTTAATGACTCTGATGTACCTGGAATGTCCCTTAGTGGTTCCTGTTCTCTCTGCTTGGGCTCAGCTCAAGAAAGTTAGACCATGATTGACAGCTTGCATCTTATGGATGTGTACTGAATGTGTCTGCTTAAATACACCTGTATCCCTAGTTTTAGTCTCTTCCCTGTTTGAAGACATAACATTCAGCTTGAGGAGGGCAAGATAGGATAAAGATAGAATTCAGCTGTATTTTTTGTAAAATATAATTTATCTTGTTTGGTCCTTTTGTAACTTTGGTGCCCTCATAGAAAGTATGTGTGAGATTTGTAAATATAAAAGGGTATGTTAACTGCCCAGCTTAGATTCAGTGATTATCACAAGGATGGGTATTTTCTCTGACCTTTACTCTCCTGTTAGCCCTGGTTACCCCAGCTGCCTGGGTGTTTATGGCATGTTTGCAAAGCACTCTCGAAATTCTGAGCAGTGGAATGTGGAGTTGGGGGTTCTGGTATGTGTGTACCTAGCTCGTGACTTCTTTGATCTCACCCTTTTCACATTAAAGGGTATCAGTTTCCAGACTGGGCCTACAAAACAGAGTCATCCCCAGGCTCCCGGCAGATCCAGCTGTGGCACTTCATCTTAGAGCTGCTGCAGAAGGAAGAGTTTCGCCATGTCATTGCCTGGCAACAGGGAGAATATGGAGAATTTGTCATTAAGGATCCAGATGAGGTGGCCCGACTCTGGGGCCGCAGGAAATGCAAACCACAGATGAATTATGACAAGCTGAGCCGGGCCCTCAGGTGAGAGAAAGGTTTCCCAGAATTGTGATGTTAACAGATTGGAAAAGAGGACCACGCAGTTTGGTGAACCTTAGATAAAAAGAGTATCAGGTAATAAGCAATTACAAAATTATAGTGAATAATGTGTAGCTTTAGAGTGGGAGTGGAAGAGGTGTTGAATCCAAGTAGTGCAGGCACAGGAGGAGAAAAGGCATATCTTTGGTTATATGTAGGAGGGAATTCCAGTGTAGCTGGCACTGGATCCTGATAGACAGCCCATCTTGCTCCTGTAGTGGGCGAGCGTGTATGGTGAGACATGGATTGGAGCTCCTTTTTAATCCGGAGGATTAGCTGAGATTTCCTTATAGGGAGTTTATTGGAATTTCTCTTACTGGGCTCACCCAAAAGAGGTTAGGAAGGAGGGAAGCTAGCACAGGAAGGCTTGTTCACATAGCTATCTACCCAGATACTCTATATTTAGGCTCAGTTGTCAGTCCACTGGTTACCCCATATTTATGGGGTAAAGAACAATCACTATAAATTCTCTCAGCTATTCTTTTCCCTTGGTCAGTTTTTATATTTCATGACTCTGCCCCTCAAGAGACCAGAGGCAGTTTATGACCTGTACTGTTTAATAGAAGCCATGCTAGGGATCCAGGTATATTGGCATTCCCTGCTTTCTTCATTCTTAGACCCTTGAGTTTAAAATCTGTGCAGTAACTTTGTAGTAATGTCCCACATCCCTTTTGAATGTTTAAGGATGAAAAGACCAAGACAACTGTTTAGATATCTCACTGGCTATCATAAATGATTCTATGTTCCTTTGTACGTTGCACTTATATCTCCAGACTAACTACATCAGGTCTCCCAAAAGACTTGCCTGACCCCCACTAGACAAGACAGAAAGAAACTAAACTACACAGTTAGCATAAACTACATCGCAACTTGCAGTACAATAAGAAGGAAGTGAACTGTAGAATTGAGGTTATAGAGATGGACAAAAGTAGAGTTAGGTTAGGTGACTGGGTCTTTAAAGAAAGGATACTTTGAAAAGCTCTCACCAGATAGTTTAGCTGAAAATTGAATGACAAAAGTAAGTTCTTCTTCCTTGTCCTAGCTGTAATCTGAGGACCAGGCCACAAAGAAACAATAAGGAGGTTTGCTAGTTATATTGAGAGCCAGAATTATTGGTCTTAGTGATTACTTAAGTTTATTAGAAGCTGTCAATGGCTAGAAGATAAACTGAGTGTGTTCCAATTTTACAGATACTATTACAACAAGAGGATTCTTCATAAAACAAAAGGGAAAAGATTTACTTATAAATTTAACTTCAATAAGCTGGTGATGCCCAACTACCCGTTCATCAACATTCGGTCAAGTGGTAAGATGCAAATCCTTTGAGAATGTATTTTGAATTAAAAAGAGAACTTTAAAAACCAAACTCTAAGACTTGGCATGTTTAAGGGAATTTTAAAAGTTCTTGTGGTAGATTAATCAGTGTTCTTTTAAGTCTCCCCTTTCATCTCCTAAAGGGAGTAATAGAATTTGTGATACCAAGGTGGATTTGTTCATTTGGAACTTTTTTCCCCTCCATATTATTTGCAATCTCCTACACTATCCTGTTTAGAAATGGGGTTCCATAGGGTTGTGTTGATTTTTTAGCTCAGGACTCAGTACAAACACTTCCGATTTTCTATGAAACTATCAGGCTCTTCTTTATCAAGTGAATCTCATCAAAACCACAGCATCCTTCATCAGAGAACTGGAGGTTCACATGTTTGCAGTGAAAGGCAGTGTCTTTGATCTGTACCAGCAACTCAAGAGAACTAGGCACTGGGGTTACTTAGCCTTATGTGCTGTAAATGTAACAGGGCTTCCCCTCTAACTCACTGGGTTACAGCTTTCCATCCCAGCTCATAGAAGCTTTAGGTCTTCTTTCTGTTTTTTAATTAGATGTATAAGGGGGAGGTTCATTGTGCCATTTCCATGCATACAGATAATATATGTTTTCCCCAGGACTGCCTCTTTTTTAAAATTAATTTGTTATTGTTATTATAAAGGTGGTGTATGGAGGGGTTACAGTTAGATAAGTTAGGTGAAGAGTACATTTCTTTTTGTTGTTTTTTTTTTTTGGGGGGGGGTCCGGTCGTGGGGCCTGAACTCTAGGCCTGGGTGCTGTCCCTCAGCTCTTCATGAAGCTCAAGGCTAGTGCTCTACCACTTGAGCCACAGAGCCACTTCTGGCTTTGTTCTTTTTGCTTATGTGGTGCTGAGGAATCGAACCCAGGGGCTCATGCATGCAAGACAAGCGCTCTACCACTGAGCCACCTTCCCAGCCCGAGTACATTTCTTTTTGGACAATGTCACATACATATAATATACGTTCTCCCCAGGACTGCCTCTCTTGGTCGAGAAGGCAGTATTGTTAGTGTGTATGGTTGTTTAGGGGAGGGGCATTAAAAATGAAAATTATCCCTACCCTTGCCTCAAAAAAATAGATTGTATTTAGTTATTTTTGACCAGTTCATCCTTACTCTGTCTTTGAGGGCTTGTTAAGGCAAAAAAAAAAAAAAAAAAAAAGATCATGATTCTGAAGTAAATACAACTTCTCAGAAAAGTTGGAAGAAACTGCAAAATTAGAACGGGGGTGTAGTTGAGAGAATATAATGCTAAGATATACTGCAGATATGTAATTACTACACTCAACAAGTTAGGGCAGTTTCAGCTTGACTCTGCTATCATTACAGTTCCATCTCTCCTTTTGTAACCACTCCCTCCTGTCCCTGGGGCATGCATTTAAAAAAAAAAGTGGTATTGGAATGCATCTCTCTAATTACAACCTGTTTTCTTTCCTTGTGCCTGAGGGAGCGGCATTAGGAAATCAGACCTGTCTGGCCACTAGAATCTTGTTTCCTCTATTTCTCACTATTGACCCTTTCCCTGTGTACCTTTAGGAATTAAGACTTTTTACATAGGTAATGGATAGGAATCAAGACCAACAACTTTAAAGAATGTATTGATACTCATACCCCTCATCCCAAATACTATATTGGTCTGATTCTTATTTGATCCATTTTCTGTTGGTTGAAAAATCTTAAAGTCCAGCTACCTCAACAACCTGAAATGGGGTATCTTATCAGCTCCTGGGAGTAGTGTGGTTTTCCAGGGCAAGGACTCTCTGAAGGCTGTGGTCTGGAGACCTAACTAGTGGTTTTGACACACACCCGTTCTACCAATTGAATCAACCCAAAAGTCACAATGAGTGTCTGGGCTATAGCTCAGAAGAGTATGCGCCTCTCATTCTTAAAGGCTGAGGTACAATAATCACGTAAAAAAAAAGTTACAGGGAAAACAAAAAGAGTTTACCTTTCTTTCTCAAAAGTATATATTGGTTACTCACATCTTAGGTACAAGTAATTCCAAAGAACCAGAGTTACTTACTTATAGTGAATTTTATCCACAGAGGCTGTGCTTAGCTTTTATGATGACAAAGAGTATAAAATGTATTAAGCATGTACTTAGTCAAGGTACTTTTGCTGAGTGGTTTGGTGAGTTATCTCATTCTATCCTTTCTACTATGGTAAAGTACAAATGATCTGCTGAGACAATTTCTGACTGAATAGTGACTGTGACTATATATCATACAAATTCTTCCTCTAAATTGGGATTCATTTATTAGTTCAATAAATAATTTGCAAGTCCTAAAGGCACAAAAAGATTATGGGGGAATTTAGTGTTTAACAGGAGAGGCAGTATGTATTTGCTTTAAATGCAAATGTGAAATGTGAACATTTCACTCCAGAAAGTAGTCTATATAGATTTAGATCTCAAAGCCAAAGACATCCTCTCTATAGGAAGGTTGATAGAATGGGGCTATTTTGGTGTCTTTCAAAAAAAGAAAAAAAAAGGATATTTACTCATTGTAATATAGTCAAGTAATGCAAAAGTTTATTGAGTAACAGGGTAAACATTTGTATTTTTTTCTTTCCCTTAGTCTTATTACTGTTAACAGTTTAGGGTAGAGAAATTATCGTGTAAATAATGTTGAAATAACTTCTATAAATCATGCAAGGTGGCACATACCTGTAAATCCATAATCCCAGTTCTTGAGAACTAAGGTAGGAGGATTGAGTGTTTAGGTCCAGTCTGGTCTACATAATGGGAGCCTGTCTCAAACAACAACAACAAAAAAAAAAAAACATGGGCTGGGAATGTGGCTTAGTGGTAGAGTACAATTCCTCAGTCCCACATGAACAGAAAAAGCTGGAAGTGTCACTATGGCTCAAGTGGTAGAGTGCTAGCCTTGAGCACAGAGAGGCTCAGGGGCAGTGTCCACACCCTGAGTTCAAGCTCAGGACTGGCAAAAACAACAACAGTACTTTATATACAGTATCCCATTTTTATCACTAAAAACATCCTATGACAATATTAAGGTATATTTAAATATTTAATTGTGTTTGCATAAAAAGATAACTAGTGAAAGTGGTTACTTATCAACAGGTGGACAGATAGGGGCTTGAGATCTCTTCCATCTATACCTCTCATTGTCCACCTATCCTCACCTCATTATTTATTTTCATTTTGGAGAAATTCAAACCTACAGGAAAATTTGGTTAAAAACAGTGAACACCCATCTGTCCTTAGATTCACTAAATGGTTAATGTTAAAGCCACATTTGTTTTATCTCTTTCTATTTATATATACTTTTTAAATCTTTTGAGATTAAATCACAGACATCCTGGCACTTCACCCCCATGTACTTCAGAATGTATCTCCCAGGAGCAAGGACATTCTTTTCTTTAACCACAATAACATTACCACACCCAGGAAGTTTAACATTGCTCTAATACTGTTACCTCAATACATTTTTGAATGAGGTATGCCTTTCCTTTAGACTTTGAACCATAATGATTATCTAATAAATTATTTTAACAATTGATTATGCACTGGTACTATTCCAAGGGCTTCATAAATATTAACTTTTTTTATTTATTTTATTTTGACTTTTTTGCCAGTCCTGGGTTTGAACTCGGCCTGAGCACTGTTCCCTAGCCTCTGTGTGGTCAAGACTAGCACAGTGTCATTTCCGTTTATGTGGTACTGTTTATGTGGTATTTCTGTTTATGTGGTAGTGAGCAATCGAACCCAGAGTTTCATGCATGCTAGGCAAGCACTCTACCACTAAGCCACATTCCCAGCCCCAAATATTAACTCCTCAAAACATTAGACTTGGTCCTATTACTATCTGTTTTTCAGGTAAGGAAATAGGCATACAGATGTAAATTGTCTAGAGGCACATGACTGGGACCAGGATTCGAGCTTATGCAAAGACATTATTTTCCTTTTTCCCATTTTTTTGCAGAGGATATTTAACTCTGGCTACAAGGTAGAAGATGCTAGAAATAAGATTCAGAGCCAGATTTTTTTTTTCAGTTCTACTATTTGAGTCTCATAGAAATGATCGTCTTTTTTTTGGTCGGCCGTGGGGCTTGAACTCTGGGCCTGGGTGCTGTCCTTCAGCTCTTCAGCTCAAGGAGAGCGCTCTCCCACTTGAGCTACAGCGCCACTTCGGGTTTTCTGGTGGTTTATTGGAGATAGGAGTCTCACGGTCTCTCCTGCCCGGGCTGGCTTTGAACCGCGATCCTCAGATCTCAGCCTCCTGAGTAGCTAGGATTACAGGCGTGAGCCACCAGCGCCCGATGAAATGATCGTCTTTTAAGAGCAACAGTATTTGTCATTTTTTGGCAGCAAACTCCATTGTAAACAGAATTTTAGCTCTGAACTCTTAAGATGTAATACATAAAAGTGGGGAGCAGGGGCTTGGAATGCATATAAGAATGCATATAAGTTAGGGGTTTGAACTCAGGGCCTAGGCATGTATGTACTCTTGAACTAAAAATCAAGAGTCATACACCTATAATCATAGCTACTCAGGAGGCTGAGATCTGAAGGTTATGGTTCAAAGCCAGCCTGGACAGAAAAGTCCATGAGGCTTTTATCCCAGTAAACTACTCAAAGAAGGTGAAAGGCATTGTGGCTCAAGTGGTAGAGCACTAGGCACTAGCTCAGGGACAGAACCCAGACCCAGAGTTCAAACCATAGGACCAACAAACAAACAAAAAAAAGAGTCAAAACAATCAAAAAGGTTACCAAGGTAGGTTTTTAGTCACTGTAGTAAGTTGAAAGAAGAGGTCATTTTGCCCTGGTACTCTCGGCCTATTTAAATACTATTCAAGGTTATCTGTCTGTTTTTCTGGGTTGAGATTAAATCAGAGGCCATTTTAGAAGTATTGTAGAACAGTTTTCTGTGGAATATCAGTTCAGGAAATGCTCTTCTAGCACATTGTGACTTGTCAAACATAGAAAGCTACAGTCTTGTATGTATCAGCCAACTCCAGTCAAGTCTGAGAGTGACTCTTAGACCAACAGTAGAAAACGTATGCCAGACACTGGTGGTACACAATGTAATCTTAGCTACTCAGGAGGCGGAGATCTGAGGATTGCCGTTTGAAGCCAGCTCAGACAGGAAAGTCCATGAGACTCTTATCACCAAAAAAGTCTTAAGTGGTGCTGTGGCTCAAGTGGTAGAGTGCTAGCTTTGAGCATTAAAAAAATAAAATAAAGCTCAGAGACAGCACTCAGGCTGAGAATTCAAGCCCTAGGACTAGCACACTCGTGTGGGAGCAATTACGAACCACACTTTTTGTTTCCTTTCCACGACCACTATACTTAGACTGATTTTTTTTCTTGTTTATTTCTTGTCCCTTTTGTCCTTTTACCTTCTCCTTCAGGGTGTAAAGCAACCCGACATCATCATCATAGTGGAAGCCACTGGCACCTCCCAGGAACCTGAAGGGTCCCTGTGGCCTCCAATAGCAAAACTTTCTCAGTTCATATTTAGGGCTTTGTGGGGAAGCTGAGAACTTGAGAGCCCTTCAAATTGGTATGATCAACACAATAATAGTTTCAGGTTTAGCAGTGGAATTTGAGAGAGTGAGAATAGATCCTAGATTTTCTCCCACTCTCCTCAATGCTTGAATGGGAATGGAGATTTTTACCTGACATAGGTAACAGAGAACTTATTAGGGGGAATATCCATTATAAGAACACCAAAAGAGGGCTGGGAAGGCGGCTCAGTGGTAGAGCGCTTGCCTTGCATGCATGAGGCCCTGGGTTTGATTCCTTATCATCACATAAGCAGAAAAAAAAAGCCGGAGTGGCACTGTGGCTCAAGTGGTAGAGTGCTAGCCTTGAGCTGAAGAGCTGAGGACAGCGCCCAGGCCCAGAGTTCAGGCCCCACGACTGGACCCAAAAAAAAAAACAAAAAAAGAACACCGAAAGAACTTAAAAGACATCCTTTTTCCAGTTTTGTTTTTGGGTTTTGTTTTCATTTTGATCTATAGTAGGGCTTGAACTTAGGACCTGGACACTGTCCCTGAACTCTTTTGCTCAAGGCTAGTGCTCTACCGTTTTGAGCCTCAGCACAACTTCAGTTTTCTGGTGGTTGGTTGGAGATAAGGGTCTCATGGACTCTCCTGCCTGGACTGGTTGTCCTCAGGGCTCAACCTCCTGAGTAGCTAGGTTTATAGGCGTGAGCCACTGTCACCCAGCTGTTTTAAACTCAAGGCTGTCTTTGAACTCATTATCCACCCATGTGTTGAGATTATAGGTATATGCCCCTACACCCAGGCTGGTCTGTATTTTCTAACTAGACAGGAAACTATGGGATATGGGTCATTTGGAGTCTTTATTTCCTGCTGCCACTGAAAATTGTACATGGGACTAGCATAGTAAAAGTAATGATAGTGAATGACCAAATGATCGATGCAGTCTTTTGTCTCTTCCACGATCACAGGTGTGGTTCCTCAAAGTGCACCACCAGTGCCAACAGCCTCTTCACGGTTCCATTTCCCACCTCTGGATGCCCATTCTCCACCTGGTGATGTACAGTCTGGGCGGTTCTCTGCTAGCTCCCTAACTGCCTCTGGCCAGGAGTCAAATAATGGCACTGATAGAAAGGTGGAGCTTTCAGAGCTAGAAGATGGCTCAGCTGCTGACTGGCGCCGGGGCGTGGATCTCATGGCCTCCAGGAATGCTGTTGGTGGAGGAGGGATTGGCCATCAGAAACGCAAGCCTGACATAATGCTTCCTCTGTTCACTAGGCCAGGGATGTACCCTGACCCCCACAGTCCTTTTGCTGTCTCTCCAATTCCTAGCCGTGGAGGTGTCCTTAGTGTCCCCATCTCACCGGCCCTCTCCCTGACTCCCACCATCTTCTCCTATAGCCCTTCACCAGGCCTCAGCCCCTTCAACAGCAGTTGCTTCTCCTTCAGCCCAGAGGAAATGAAACACTACCTTCATTCTCAAGCCTGTTCTGTGTTCAATTATCATCTGAGTCCTCGGACTTTTCCCCGCTACCCAGGGCTCATGGTTCCACCACTGCAATGCCAAATGCATCCTGAGGAGTCTACTCAGTTTTCTATCAAGCTGCAGCCCCCACCCATTGGACGAAAGAACCGAGAGAGAGCAGAGAGCACAGAGGAGTCTGCACCTGTCACTGTGCCCACCGTGGCTCCCATTCCTCCTCGAATTAAGGTGGAGCCCACCTCTGAGAAGGATACAGAGGGCCTCGGGCCGTCAGCCCGGGAGAAGGAAGAGCACTCTCAAGATGAGGGCACTGTGCCAAGCAGGACTATAGAAGAGGAGAAAGGTACCATCTTTGCCCGCCCTACTGCCCCACCAGCCTGGCCCTCTGTACCCATTAGTAACCCCAGTGAGGAACCTCCAGAGGTAACTGAAGACAGTGAGGATAGATCAGGCAAAGAACCTAGTGCACCTGAGAAGAAAGAAGATGCCCTAATGCCCCCCAAGCTTCGATTGAAGCGGCGCTGGAATGATGACCCTGAAGCCCGTGAGCTGAATAAGACCGGCAAGTTCTTCTGGAGTGGGGCAGGACCTCGGGGCCTAGCAGCAGCTGCCGCTGATGCTTAGAACTGCAAGTGAGATAGGCGCTGTTTATATTATAATCAAATACATACATGTATTTATGTAGCAAGATTTGGAGGGAGGGGGGAGGGTGTTAGACTGGTTTGATCATTCTGGGGCATAGTCTTGTACTTTTCTGTTGGGGATGGGATGGGAATCTTCTGTTGTAAATTAAGTTGGATGTGAACACACTTTTTTTTTCCTGGGAAGTAGGACACAGAGTATTGAATTGAAAGGGGAAGGAGCCTGTTTCCCATTTGAGGCTTGCACTTCCTGACAAGGAAATATCTAAAGGGCCCAGGTACTTTCTGGTCCCATAACAGTTCAGGTTCTAGACCTCTTTGTTTTCTATATATACATGGAAAGCCATTAATGAGTTTCTTTTGTTCTGAGAGAGATACATAAAAGGGAAAACATTGTAGCTGGGAGAAGTTCAACAGTAAGTATTTTTACCTGAAAATACTCTTTTAATTATTTCAGGGGAAGAATAATAGACTGTCGGTCTTAACTTGGGCAGAGGATGTTCAGGTGTCTCTTCTTTTGTTGTTGTTTGGCATTTTTCATTTCCTTTTTTTAAAATGTTTTCAGGACACGTGAGCATACTGCCAGTTAGGGTAGACTGGGAGGGTGCTGGAGGCCCCTCTCCGCTGCAGGGGGAAGGCGGGAAGTAAGCCTGCCACCCGCTCCTTGGACTTTTCACCCACTTCACCTACTAAGAAGCCATGAAGACTTGTAAACTCTTGTTCAGGGAAGAAAGAAGAGGGCAGGAGGAAGCAACCCAATGCCTTTAAAAACAAAAAATGAAAAAATGGTCATTTTTCTTTTTCCATTGTGGGTTTGGGAAGCCAAACCAAAGTGTGAACAAGTTCATGGAGAAGCCTGACATATGTCTTTACATTGTGTCTGATTCTCTTATTTTCTTAAGTCGAGCCTTAACTATGAACACACTTTAAAGTGATACGGGTCTGTCAACTTAAACCTGTAAAGGATGTGGCCACTGTTGAGATAATCAAGGAATATTCAAACATGGTTAAATTCCTTACTGGTAGTCATTTCCTCTTAATGTTGGAATGGTAGCAAAAGGTAAATTGTGAAGCTGAGGACAGATGCCTGGTAACACAGAAGGTAGCCGCAGGAACAAGTGGAAGTTTGTTGAAACTGTAGGAATGGGTAGAAAGAAGACAGGCAGTTAGATGCTGAGAGGTCTGGTGTGAGGGAAGTCGGTGTCTGTGCTCTTCTGGTGTTGCCATTCATGCCATCCCCCTTTACCCAGCTAGTTCTGAGTCTCCTGGTCAGTTAAATATCCTGAGTCAGACCACTATACAGAAAAGTGAGGAATTATTTCTTTCTGGGAAATTCCCTCCCAGCAAGTTCAAGAGAATGGGAAGATATTTGGTCTAATATGAAGCAAAACACTAGGTAGGACTGGGGGCAGAGAGGCAGCAGCCAGCCTTTGTATGTGCATGTGTACCTCTAGTGTAGTAAAACACCTAGCTGGCTGTGGCCCAGATCCACCTTAACAGGGCAGCAGGGAAGAAAGGGGTGGCATGGGAGTGGCTTCCAGGAATTGAAGAGACTCCTGACTCCTTTGGCCTAAGAAAACTGTATACTAAGTAACATTTGACAGTGGTATTTTACTGGAGTCCATCATGCTTTTTCATGACAAGTGTCCTCACTTAATCCAAATTCCATGAGTGATTTGTCTTTCCCCCAGGAAAGGGACTGAGAATGGTCCCTAATGACTCAGGCTTTGGTCATGCTGCCTTTGTGGTTGTGTTTCCTTCTCTGCACCTCAACTTACCTCTGAATCAGAAAGCAAACCCAGCAGGTAGAAGAAAGCTCTCTGCTAGGTATTGCCCAGTCTAACCAGGGAGGCCAGCTGGACACCCATTGTCCACTAGAGGGGAGGGCCAGCAGGTGTCTGTATGAACTCAGGAATAGAAACATGGGGCCTTTAAAATAAGAGGGAGAAAAATCCATGTTACATACCTGTAACCCCCTAGAACCCAAGTGCCAGAATTAATTCCTAGATGCTGCTTCTGAAGAAAAAGTCACTGCTTTTACACTTGAAAACACACTCAAAATATGTTCAACTCCATGAAAAACTTTTTTTTTTTTTTTTTTTTGGATTTAAGAAATTGTTTGCTGTTTAACTGTTTCCTTTGATTGCCATTCCACCAGTGTTTGTTGATTTGCACTGCACACTGGGGGTGGGGGTGGAGCTTCTTAAACAGCTGAACCATGGGCTTGCTCAGGAAGTGGACTGGGGAATGTGCAGGTCGTTGATATTTCCTCTGGCAAAAGAGTCTTTTATCTCCCCAGCCCACTCCTGGCAGCACCTGTCACTAACCTGGTACAAGGCAGATTTTTCCCTTCCATGAGCATCTCATCACTGCCCGACAGCAGATGGAAAAAGGGGGGACAAAAGCCAGACCTACTTCCCTCTCCCTCCATTTTTCCAGTTTTGCTGTGCCAAATGTTTAGGAGTTTGCAAATATAAATTATTGAAATTTCATTAATCAAGAACTTGTTCATGTAAAAAGTTTGCTTTTTTAGCTATAGGAAGGAAACAGTAGAGATCTCTTAAGGGCATCCAGCCTTGCTGAGCTCACCTTTTTTCCTGAAGGGTTAGGAGTAAAATGTCAACATCCCAAGTCCCTTCACCCCAGTTTTTAAGCTGTACTACATTAAACCCAGCTCACTAATACAGGGAATTACCACACCCTAATGATCCATGGGCCAAGAAACTTCCAAAAGCATTAAAAAAGATGGTTGAAGTATATCACTTCTCACCAAGTGAGTAGTCAGTTGGCTGTCCCTTGTTTTTTTAATTTATTCTGTAATTATGTTTGTGCTTTTTGTTTTTATAAACAGTAATGGATCATATATTTTTATGTGGTTTAAAAGAAAACTTTGATTCAGTCTTTGAAGAATTGTTCCATTTTTAGTTTCTTCTTGAGGAAAAAAGTTATCAGTTAATTTGTTCTGAAATAGTTAGGCATTCTTTGAGTTATAAAATTGTGATGCAGGGATTTGTGAATAAGACATTCATGTGTGAAAGGTAACCACTAGTTACCCACATAAGCAGAATAAAGTGTGTATATGTACATAAAATGTAAGTAATTTTAACTCCATTGTGCAGTGCCTTTTAGATGTTCCGCTTTCTATACAGTCTCCAAATTTTTGCATATATATTATATATATGATGTAATGTTATAGAAATATATGTATAATATACATATTTTTTTCCAGGGGTATCTGATAGCTCTGTATTTTGTTATGGAAGTTGAAAGAAAAAAAAGTATTTTACCTCAGAAATTAAAGTTAAATAAAAAGTACTTTTAAGTAATGTTTGTAAGTGATGATTTTGTTGTTCATAACATGCTTGTGTCAGGGTGATCATGGCAGAGAATTTACCAAGTCCATGCTAGGTCACACCACCACCACACTTTTTCATCCTGTTGTATGAGAGCCAACATAGTGAGGGTTAGGTCTCTCTAACAGTGTTAGAACTTGTTGGTTTCCTCCAGTGAGTCACTACTACTAGATAAAGGAAACCAAAGCCAGGGACCCAAGTTAGAAGAACATGTCTCAAGAAATTTTCCTAGGAGGATCAAGGTTCCAGGCCAGCCTGGGCAGAAAAGTCTGAGAGCTTGATGAAGTGATCCCAGCAATGATGGTAAGCCTAAAATAGGTGGTCTCAGTCCAGGCAGGGATCAAGACCCTATCTCAAAAATAAGGCAAAACAGGCACTGGGGGGTCACACCTGTAACACTCACTAGGAAGTTTGAGATCTGCGGATTGTGATTCAAAGAGCCAGAGCAGAGAAGCCCATGATACTCTATCTCCAGTTTAAAAAAAAAAAAAAAAGTAGATCTGTATCTCAACTGCTGGCTTTGAGCAAAAATCAGGGACAGTACCAGGGTCCTGAGTTCAAGCTCCGGGACTGGCACAAAACTAAAAAAAAATAACAGGCAAAGCAAGGCTGGAGGAAGGACTGTAGATCTACAAATGTGCAAATGTACAAGACAGGCAAGTCTAGAGACCAAACAGATTTGTGGTTGCTAGAGTAGGGAGTTACCCTTTGCTTTAAGGATGGTAAGAATGTGCAGGATTCAGACAGTTGCAGAATTTGAATATAACCAGTGAATTATAACAGCTCTGAAAACGTGAATGTTAAAATGAGTTATATCTCAATAAAGATGGATTTTCTTGGTTTGGTTTTGGTTTTTTTGTTATTTTTTTTTTTTTAGTAGGCAAGCCAGTACCAGGGAAACATAATAATTCCCAGTAGAGAACAAGATTCCAGAGAGATGGAGGGGATCTGGATATTGAATGCCATATAATCAAACTTTTAAGGAAAATAGTATCAGGTAGTAATTTCATTTTGCCCGTGGGAGATAGGAAAAGTGATTTTTCTGAAAGTCCCAACGTTCCCTGTGTCAAATTCATTCAGTAATTAGGTAGAACTGGGTGGTAAAGGAGATGCAGGTAAAGGTAAATGGATAAGATCTGGTGTGGAACAAGCCTAAGATGTTTGCAGTTTATTCTGCCAGCAGTAGCCACATCTATTGTCTTACGACAATTTGTGCCTCCTGCTTCTCCCTCAATACTGAAAGCAAAGGTAGGCTTGTTTTAGGAACAAGTGTGCACCTCATGTTCATATCAGGATCCTAGATGACAGGTTGCTCCCAATTGTATGGTGTTATGGAATTCAAGGGGGGAGAGTGATGATGAGCCGAGGGAAGGGAGGGGGTAGGAGGTATAGCAGGCAATGAGAAGATTGGAAAGGCCATTGGCTCTTCATGGTTAGGGACCAAAAGCCTTCAGTGGCTCTCAGTTGTTTCACTGATAACCATGTTTAGCATATCCTGGAAGGCCTTTCATTGGACTGCTTCCAGCCTCATCCTTTACCTGGACACACAGACATTCTCTTGGTTATCCAAAGCCTAAAGACTTTTTTTTTTTTTTTTTTTTTTAGCAGTCCTGTGCCTAGCACTCTACCACTCTGAGCCACAACACCACTTCTGGCTTTTTCTGTGTATGTGGTACTGACTAATTGAACCCAGGGCTTCATGCATGCTAAGCAAACATTCTACCACTAAGCCACATTTCCAGCCCAGCCTAAGGACTTTTTTTTTTTTTTTTGTCAGTCATGGGGCTTGAACTTTAGGCCTGGGCACTGTCCCTGAGCTCTTCAGCTCAAGGCTAGCACTCTACCACTTGAGCCATAGCGCCACTTCCAGTTTTTTGGTGGTTAATTGGAGATAAGAGTCTCATGGACTTTCCTGTCTAGGCTGGCTTTGAACCACAATCCTCAGATCTCAGCCTCCTGAGGATTACAAGTGTGAGCCACCAGCACCCTGAAGCCCAAGGACTTTTTAAGGACTTAACTCAGTCCTCATGACAGCCCTCTGAGGCAGGATTGTTTGTTCCTATTCTTCTGAGATGAACACTGAGTTTCAGAGAAGTTCTCTGGTGTGACCAGAGTGCAAACCCCAGCACTTGGACTCACAACTACCCAGCCACAGGCCTCTGTGCCATGCAGCACCATAGATCTGATTCACCTGGCTCTGCCTGAATACCTTTCGTTCTCCCTATTTTTTTTTCTTTTCTTCTTTTTTCTTTGTGATCAAAGCTAGTGCTCTACCACTTGAACCACAATATGCCACTTTCAGCTTTTCTGAGTAGTTTATTAGAGATAAGAGTTTCATGTATGGGGCTGGGAAGGTGGCTCAGTGGTACAGTGCTTGCCTTCCATGCATGAGACCCTGGGTTCAATTCCTCAGCACCACGTAAACAGAAAAAGCTGGAATTGGCACTGTGGCTCAAGTGGTAGAGTGCTAGCCTTGAGCTGAAGAGCTGAGGAACAGCTCCCAGGCCCAGAGTTCAGGCCCCACGACCAACAAAAACAAAACAAAACAAGAGTTTCATGGACTTTCCTTCCCTGGCTGGCTTCAAACTATGATCCTCAGATCTCAGCCTCCTAAGTAGCCAGGATTACAGGTGTGAGCCACTGGCACCTGGCTTCTTTCTGCATTACTGTACAAATATTTTCTCCTTCAGAATTCAACTCAGTGCCTCTAGGGTCCTTTCCTGGAATCTTTTCTTTCTTGCATTTCTGTCCAAGAATTCTTCAGAATTCAACTCAGTGCCTCTAGGGTCCTTTCCCAGCAGGATAGGGAAACTCCTGGGTGTTCTATTACAGCCCTGTTTATCTCCCAGTCTTCTTCTCCCCTGACACACTTAACTGCTTGTTTGTCTGCTTGTCTAACTTCTCACAGAGCAGTCAAGAGGTCAAGGGCCAGCACAGGGTTTGAATTAACTGGCTTTCACCACCACCTAACACACTAAAGCTAAGGATATTTGGTAAATGCTTGTTGAATAAAGAAGGATGTTTCATTACTGGGACAGAAGATCAGCTTTAGAACATGAAGACAGGCAAAAGGATGAGGGAAGGGTGACAGTTACACAATATCTGTGGTCTAGTTTTGGCTACAGAGTAGGGAACACCTGCCAGCATTGCTGAACCCTTCTGCCCCCAAGCCCATTCAAGCACAGCCTTCTCTCAATCTCTGAGCTGGTCCTCATAGGCTCCTCCCCTCTGATCTCCAAGGTCTCCTTCCCTTCTTGTCACTGTAACTGTCACACCTACCTTCAAACCTGCCTTTGCTCCAGGGACCAACAGGATGTGTTGGCTGTCTATTTACTCCAAGAAAATGTAAGCAAGAAAAAAAATGAAGTAAAATTATAAAAGCCTTTCCCCTGCCTCCCATTTTCCAAGATGCCCCTAGTTCTAACCAGCCCACCTGAGCATTTCCCTTCCTGTTCCCTCTCTAGGATTCCTCACTAGTCCCAGCTGTGCATACCTACCCTCTGTCCTTTAGGGAAGAAAAAAAGTAAGCAGGCAGAAACCCCTTCTAAGACTATGGCCTGTTCTGCACCAGCTTCCCTCCCAAGCTCTGGAGATTTCCTGAAACATCGAATCCATAGTTCCACCCATGCCATTTTACTGGCATGAAACCTTGGGCCATTTATAGAAGTCCTCTGTACCTCCATTTCTCTGTTTTATAGGGTTGTTTTGGAGATTCAATGATGCACAGAAAATGCTTAGTATTCAAAACTGTTCTTTTAGTAAAGTAACCAGGATGCTTATGTAAGGTCCTACCCTAGCACCCTAGGATCATGGTTACATCTTCTGAGTCTTTGTGCCTTTATTCTAGGTTTTCACAGTCCACTCAAAAGGAGGGAGATACTATCATCTCCATTTTACTGATACAAAAAAAAAAAAGAAGAAGAAGATCTGAGCAGGTGACAGGACCGAGATTCAAACCAAGGCCTTCCAAGTCCAGATTTCATACTTTTTCCCCTGAAGACACCTGTTCTGCCCAGCATCCCAGAATCAGGCAAGCAGAATGGAGGCTGGGAAGAGGGCAGCCTCAAGCATTCCTCCAGGTATTAGATCATGTGTCACAGCCTGGAGTATTAAGATCTTGGCAAGAAACCTGCCGGGCAGTGGGTGGATGGGGGTAGGGGAAAGCACCTGTTAGTGTTTTATTATTGTTGTTTTGCTGGGGGATTGTGAGGACTTAGACAGGCTCCAAAGCCTCTAGAGATTCCCAGTTCCCAAAGATTCTCCAAAGCATTCCCAGAATTCAGCCTTCCCTCTGCCTGCTCACTCCACCCCAGACTGCCAGACTGATGGTCTAGGGTGAAGGGTGGCAGAGAAGGCCCCACCCCAAGTCTCCCACTCAGCTCCGGGATTAAGTTGGCAGTTGGTGGGAAAGCCATAAACCCAGGGGATATGTCCTAAGCCATGAAAGTGAAGGTCTGGGACCAACAACAGCAGGCCTCGGTCCCTGCTTCATTATCTCAGGTCAGAGTTCCACCTCACCTTTAGCCCAAACATCAGTCTTGGAGACTGAGCCTTACAACCTGGGTCCCAGAGAGCCTAGGGCCAGTAAAAAGGTCATTGGCCTCTTATCTGGTTGCCTTCACTCCTGTAGGGCCTTTAGGGATGGAGGACAGAAGGTCTGGGAGCAGAGGTCAGCCTTGGATCTTCTGAGAACAATGTTAAGGCCTTTTTTCCTGTTGTCATTACACTGCCTCCGTGTTTTCCCAGAATTCTTCAAAGAGAAGCATAAACAAGTGAGAGACCGACTAGGAGTCAGGCATGTTTGAGTGGAGTTTGTTTGTTTTGTGTCAGTACTAAGGCTTGAACTCAGGACTTAGGCACGGTCCCTTAGCTTTTTCTCTAGAGGCTAGCACTCTTCCCCTCCACTCGAACCATAGTTCCACTCCTGGCATTTTGTTGATTAATTGGTTCAAAACCAGCCCAAACCATGATCC